GGCAAATCGTGGTCTTCGCACAAGATTCCACCATTGCTGAGGTGCAACCGCTGTGGGAAGATTTGCCAACCTTGCCACAAATCGAATATTACTTCAGAGCCACAAAATGAGGGAAGGCATATTTCCTTGATGGCAACCTGGGGATGTCTTGAGTGGAGCCTCGCCTGCTTTGGCAAGAGCCTTTTTCCCACTCTATCTGAAGCAAGTTGTTCAGTTGTGGGAGGCATTGCTGTATACCAGGTGATTGCTCAAGCTATCGCTCCCTCTTCGTGGGCAGTCCTGTGGGCAAAGCCCTGCATGCGGCTTACCGGCCCGAGCTTGTTCAGGCCTTTGGGAGTCGGCTGCAGATTGGTGGAATGCCGGTATTTGCGACCATGCAGGCGACGATGTGCCTCAATTTGTACCACCGATATTGGGAACGACAACGACACAGTGTCGGCATTTTGTTCGTGGATATAGCTAGCGCTTTCTACCGCCTGGTCAGAGAGCCTTTTGTCCAATATGGTGAGCATGAACACACGCTGCACAGAGTCTTTCAGCGACTTGGACTGCCTGATTCTTCTTGGTTGGAATTTCAGCACCAAATGCATGAGGTCCCTGCAATCGAGCGCACACATGCATCACCTTTTGTTCGCGCTTTACTCAAGGAGTTTTACTGCCGTACTTGGTTTGTCGTGAATGATTGCTCAAGACTGACGCAGACGCATCGTGGATCCCGGCCGGGGGACTCTCTGGCGGACCTTGTTTTGCCTTCCCACTAAGTAAGATCTTGCAGGGATTTGACGAGGAAGTCATCAGACAATTTCGCATTTGATGGCGCGATGGAATCAGAGGCAGAGCCCCTTTGCAAGAACGGGGCGATCAGTTGGACTGAGCCTGGTGATGCCCGTGTCTTGCGTTGGCAATGCACGCACCCACACCTGATGAGCTAACACATGTTGTTAGCAAAGTGTCTGGCTTGCTTTTTGACAGACTTGCTAGCGCTGGTTTGCAACCCAGTTTGAAAGCTGGTAAAACTGAGGCGTTGGTTGACTACAAGGGCTGTGGCACGCTACAAGCATGAAGGGAGCTTCTTTGGGGCGAAAGCACTACTCGACCTGCGTGTGCGTTTTGGGCAAGCACATTCTGTCATTACGAATTTCAAATCACTGATCTTTGGAAACAAAGGCATGGCGCTTCAGACCAAAGTTCGTTTCCTTGGCAGCCTTGTATTTAGCGCTATGCATTTCAATGCGGCAGGATGGATGCTGAGCTCCCAAGGGGAGAAAGATTGTGTTCGTAAGGGACATTCTAAGCTGCTGAAAAGAGTTGCTATTTTGCATTTTGGCCAAACTGCATTGAAGTGGGAGGCGACAAAGTGTGAGCTGGGAGTGTTGAGACCGGAAGATTTTCTCCGGCGAGACTCCGTTTTTGCGTTCAACTCGTTGGCTATGGTACTCCACATCTCTGGGCATTGCTGATTGAGGAAGATTGGGTTGACCTTCTGAAAGCGGATTTTGAATGGCTCAGGGAGGTAGTGCCAGAGGCTGAGCTGCCTGCGCTGACAGCGGCAACTTGGGACCAGGCGATGGCATTCATTGGAGAATCGAAGGGAAGATGGAAATCATTGATTCGCAAAGCAGTGAGACAGCATCTTGCCAATCTAGAACGACAACAGCACTGGGGTCGATGGCATCATGACAAGAGCTGACTGGACGGGGGGGTCAACTTTGGAGAAAGAAAGCTGAATGACCTTGGCTACTTCTGTGCAAAATGTCGTATGCACTTTGCGACTCAGACAGCTCAAACATGCTCAAACGGTCCATGCGTTCAAGAAGCATGGAAGGCTTTGTGATGTCAGACATTTTGTCACAGGGCGGCAGTGTGAGGCGTGTCTTAGACATTATTCTTCGCACGTTAACCTGATCAATCATGCAAAGCGCAAAGAGTCCTGCAGGCGCTTCTACCTCAGTCGAGGCCAGCAAGTCGATGTGCAAGCGGGGGTCAACAGCCGAGGTGCAGCGGGTAAGTTGACAGAGTGGCATGACTTCCTGCAGGCTGACCCCAAAGAGTGTATTGAACAGACTGTGCTCTCACTTGCTTGTACACCCGCAGCAGGATGAGTGTGATGGACTCTATGATGCATGGACTCAGGCTACTGATAGAGCTTGTGAACATCAAACAGATATACGGCGCTCCTTCCGTAGGAAGTCCACGAGCACTTCGAACTTTGGCTTGAAGTCTGGACAGGACAACATGAAGAGGTTGACATTGCTACGCTACAGCGGTTGTCAAGCTATCGGAACCACTTCTGCGCTGACTGGATTCTGGATGGTGAAGTGCAGGCGGCTGCTGGGAGCGAGCAGGCATGTGAAGTTTTTGCAAGGGAGGCTGAAAGTCTCGAGCCACTGACTTGCAGGATGATGCAACTACCCGATTTCGAGATTCATGTTATAGCACACCTTTTTCAGGCCACCGGGGAGTGGGCGATCTTCAGGGTGCGCTTGAGGAAAAGGCCTCAAAACGCTGTCGATTGACATCATTTTCGACAAGGTGAAAGGAACCTGTTGCGGCAGGACACGTTCCAGTTCTTCCGGCGTGCACTCTATGCTGGGTGGCTGAAAGGCTTTGTTGCAGGTCCTCCGTGTGAGACTTGGTCTAAGGTGCGAGCAGTCGCGGTTGAGGGTGGCAGGCACCCTCGGGTTGCTCGAACCAGAGCAAGTCCAGCTGCCCGCAAAGACATGACCTTTCGTGAGCCCCAGCAGGTGACACTTGGGAGTAGTCTCCTGGGCGTTGTGGCTCTGTGGCGAATATACTTGAACACCCGGAACAAGATGAGCTCAATGAGAAGGCAGCGTCAATCTGGCGTCTGCCGATTGTGAGAGCTCTGCGCCGCTTTTCGAATTGTATGAGCATTCGACTGCTACAGGGGCATTATGGAGGCAAAACCCCAAAGCCCACCCGTTTGCTTTTTACAAATGTGACACCAAAGCTTGAGGAGATCATTGCGCGAGGCCTGGTGGCCTATAGGATGATGGGAGAGGTTTTTGAAAGATCCCTCCCAGTTGCTGGAACAAAGATCCTGCCGGCTGAGTTCGATGCGTTCGTTACCAATTTGGTTGCGAGCTTCGACTATGATGCGGCACAGGGGCAGGACTTTAATCCAGCAACAGCATGGAATGTTTAATTAGGTGCATTCAGCGGCCGCGGAAGAGAGACTTTCTTCGGCGCACGCAAAAAGAGAAAAGGCAGGTGGACAAAAACCGCCGCCTGCGTTCTTTGGAGCTAGGGCCTCTAAAACCCTTGAGCCCAAAAAGGTGAGACGTAGGAATCCCAAGAAACCCCGCACACGCAAAGCTGAACGCCTAAAGTTTCTAAAGCTTCACACAACTCACCACGAGCAAAAACTCGCTCTTTTTCCGCATGGGGACTCAATCGGTCGAGCCGCCATATCAAAGGGGTGACAGGAACAAAACGTGGGGCTTGCTGTATAGTGGCTGCGTTCTTCTTAATGGGGAATGAGATCGGCGGCGATTATCTTTTGCGCCCCACCCCTCCCCCGGGCAGGCACAAACCTTCGGCAGCACCGGTCATCTCTGGAGCGGAACAGCAGCTCTTCCGCTTCTGACCCCTTTAATGCATTTGGGGAAAGCGTTGAAGCAGCCAAATAGCCGCGCGGCCGCCTTCACACCGGAAAACGATGATGATCCCGGCACGCTAGCGGCGCCTGGGGCGTGGCAAGCGCATCCGTATCCGCTTTGGGCCCACCGAGGAAGGGAACCTCGCAACCGCTCGAGAAGCGCTAATAAACTCCGCCCAAAGGGCGCCAATCAGCAGCGTCAAAAGCTTACTCAAGCCTCACCAAAGTTTTGCCCAAACGTTATTGCTTCCGATGGCCCCGATCTCTTTCAGCGTCGTCCTTTGCATCGCCCTTCCTCTCCTTGCGCCGCTTTTGCTTGAGCTAACTGCTCTTGCCGGAACATGTAACTCATGGCTCTTTTATCATTCGTCCTTAAAGCTTGTTGATTCCTGCGGTTTCCTCCCACGGTTCCAATATGTGACTCGTGGGCGGGGCTCCCCTTCAACCACGCCATCATGTCTTCCCACTCCAGGCTGGCAAGCCCCAACAATCAAAGACACAGCCAGCCACGAAGGCCCCGTCTCCGCAAGGTGTCTTCTTCTTCCCGTGTAGTAGGCCACAGGGCGGCAGTGGTCAGGGCGTAACAGGGAGTTCACCAATGGCATTGGCGCTGGGGGTTGGAGGCGGTGTATGGGAAGTGGACAACCACGTGACATCGCATGACATCAACAACAAGAAAAAATCGTCACCTTCATGGTATCCTTTGATCCTCCTTGGTCTCGATGATGGGGCGCGCCGCCCACTTCGGTCACACCATTATCCCTTTCTGCGTTCTTTCGCCCCACCAACTGTCCAAGGAGTTGCGAGCGTTCAGCCAGTCCTCCTGGCTGATTCCTGCTAAAGAACACTTGGCAGGATGTCTGCCCAGAATCACTCCTGGGCTGGCGTTGTCAGCATCAGCTGTCTCCGGCTGCAAACTGCGCGCACCCCCTTATTGAGTTGTTTGCCCATGCGCAGCCCAACAACCGGTCGGAATTTCCCCCTTTCTTCCCTTGTTCGCCAAAGAGCACTCCCTTCAGCCGAACACTGGCCCTTCATCCCTCTGGGACCATGCCCAGGATTCCGGTCCGCCAGGACTCGGGAACCCGGTGTAGTGAGTTGCACACCAGCAGAGCTGCGAAGCGCAAGCATCGCCGCTGTCAACCCCGCACAGGCGCGTTTGCTGGGCGAGGATCCCTTTTTTCCCTTTTTCGACAAGACCGCGCAGGAGAGGTTGGGGGTGAAAAAACAAACGGCGCAGAAGTGTTCCGGCACCTCCAGAATTTTTGAGCGCAAAAAAAGTGAGAGGTAGGAATCGACAGAGCTGAATGCCTAAATTCGAGTTCTTCGGAATCCTTTGAGTCTGAGCTGAAATGAAATCAGCCAATTTGGCCAAGAGCGCTCGATGAAGAGCTGGCGCAGTTCCTCCTCAGAGTGCCGCTGCACACGTCGAAGGAAGCCCACTATGCGCACGCAGGCAGGGAGGTGGATGTCCTTAGAAAAGCTATCAAATACACACCCTCGTTGAACTCATTGCGCACCAGCCAGTCTTGGATCTGGAGCCCGCACTACAGGACTACAGGGTGCGTCATGTCTTTTTCGATTGAACGTTAATCCTTGGCCTGAGGTTGAAGCAAAAAGAGAAATAGGAATGGAAAACATGTTGAATAGTCTCGCCGTGCCTCTGTTTTCAGCTGTGATGCCAAAGCGTCCTTGAGGTTTGCTCGTTGCACCGCAACCTCAAAACCCTGAAGACATCCTACACCACAAGTGATTGGCAACCTACTTCGTAACTTCGCTCAAACCTTTTTCACACATCGCTCAACAAACCCAAGTCTTGCAAGGCTAGATCTTCAGTTTCCAAACATAAAAAAGACAGGGGCGTGCGTCGTGCCTTCTGATATTATGTATATATACATTTTTACAGCAGTAATACGATGTACGTACATACAGTGAATATACTGAGATATCAGAATGCCAACAACGCACCTGTTCCTTGATGCCCGTAAGCACACCAATCTCTTCGCCACGGGCTTCATGCGCTTGAAGCAAGCTATTGCAGAAGGCCTTCGTTTCGCCAGAGCTTCCAGCCAGACCACAATATGACAAAGCTTCACAGTTCTTTGTCGAACACTTGCAACTTATGTAACTCAGTTTGGAAGCAACTTCATTCCTCAGTGTGTGTGTGTGTCACACTCTGTATCTAAGAGTTATTCGTTCAGCAGGGGGTGCAAGCAGCCCATCCTGTCTTGCACCAACGAAGACACTGGATGCGTGCTGGTGATATCGATTTGGGACGCCAAATCGACGTACCTGTTTTTTGGTGTTGACAAGTGGTTACCCCACTCTTTCCTAACGAGCTAATTGGCCGATGTTCAAACGATTCTGGTTTGCTGACCCTTCGCCATACTGTTGCGCAAGTCAAGGTCTAACTGCTGTAAGGTCAAGGGCTAACGCATCCGTGATCCAGCTTCAGAATTGTATGCTCATTCAGTTGAGCTATATACAGTATCTAAATGTGTCGGCCTGGTGCTTTCTAATCCTCTATATCTTCAACTATGTTCTTCTGTTCTTTTCATCGAACACCAAATATTGACCAAATTGTTTGCAAAAACTGAATGGTTGTGATTCGAAGGGATTGTAAAGGGCTTTCACATGCCAACATCCTCGGTAGGGCCTGAAACAGGAATGAGATCATTGAACACAAATGGCGAACTATGGTCCCGGGTTCGATCAGCAACTTAGCCTATCTGTTCAGTGCCAAATGCAGGAGCGCGACGAGCAGTTCCAGCGACTCTTCGTACATCTGATTTCGTACGCACGCATCTAGCCTCAGATCGATTCAAACACGGCAACGCAATTTCCACACTTGTACATATACTATGCACCTCTCCCACATCAAAGGTAGTTCAGAGTACTTCTTGGCAAAAACAAACATGAGGTTCCTTCTGGCCAGCAACAGTTAAAGACATGCACAAAGGACCAACAGACAAGCAATCTTACGCCTATCGCTGAAAACCTGGCCGACAAACATCCACAAACCTTCGGGGTGCCAAGCAAATCCTCGACCTCGTCGGAGCTACACTGCACATCACTGCTGTATGGTAGAATCAGCCAAAGAACAGTTGCGGCAGTTCCAACAGCTCGAGCACAGAAGTGTGCTGCGCTAGCACCTTTCTCAGCGCTTGACGTCGAATGCTGAGACCTGAACACGTCAACAAGCCAACGTCACAGAATGAGGACAAAGCTAAAACATCTGAGGATACGCTTACTAGAATTACAGGTTGCCATGCATAACTAGACAGCCAGCATTATTCACATGTCCTCAGTACATCAACGCAAAAAAACAATGCAAAGAGCACGTGTGACTCGACAACTCTTACACATAAGCAAAACAAAGGCATGAATAAATACAAATTGGCGTGACTGCCTCAGTCCCCCAGTGAATTAGTGTTTAACACTCGGCGCACTACAGGTCCATGGCACCGATAGATAAACTGGTCGCGTGGCTGGGCGAACAACATAACATGTCTAACAACAGGCTGTCTAAGAGACAAGACCAAATGATTGTCCCGGGTGAAAGCCTCACTGCTGCTGACTCCATGCAGTGGAACCAGGGTCACCATCCAAGAATAGAATTACAGTATTCACAAACACCTGTTCTTGCGGCTTGGGCAAAGCCAGGTCGGCGTTGACAACCTCCATTGCGGGCAAGGTTTATAAATTTGTATTTTCGGGTTTGCTGCGGACCAGCGGCCAAATATGGCTCTAAATGAGTGAAAACAAGAACTTGTTGCAAGATTGCGCAGCAAAACGCATGGCGAGACAATGAAGAGATACAGCGGCTTTGCAACAGTGTCTTTACGAAGTGCAGTGTAGGGGCGGTGCGCAAGAATCTTTTCCATGTACTGTACACTTTGTTTAGACACGGTTGCATTTGACTATCAAAGCCGGCTGCAAGGTCGTGAAACTTTGGCATCAGCTCGGCCTGAAGCTTGGCTTTGCAACTCCGCGATGGTCTCCTGAATTGTTGCCAAAGGAAAGTCCATTGGGTACAAAATCAGCCCAGAGATGCCATTTCCAAGTACACTATGTCTAAACGCATGCTACCTGTGCATTGCGCAAGCACTGACAACCAGTTGATGATATGTTGAAAACACAAGATATGGCATCACAATCTGAATCTTAGCAACCCCTGAGATTGCTCAGTGGCACATACCATCCACGCACATCACACGAATTAACTTCAGACCCTACATGGTTTGCATCATTGAGGGACCTCCAGGTCACACAATCCGCCTACTTCGTGCACGACTCCGCAACGCAGTTTTAAGATCTGAAGGGTTTTCTGTTGCTTCTGCCAGCACATTTCCAGCTTCACATTTGACGACAAAGGTCTTGCGTTGGCTCAAGAGCTTGTATCATCCTTAGCAAAAACCAACTCTTCACAATGAACAAATGCATTCAGGTAGTCTTCTCTCCAGCATTATCTCAGCGATTGGGTTAGTTTCAATCAGTCCAAGGCCGTGGCTCCTGAAGGTGTGTTCGAACGTTTGACAACTCCTCAGCACCCCAGCATCATCAAAAAAGGAAAGAAAGGCTCTGTATGCATAATTAATAATATATGCACACAAAGCGTTGGTTGTTCAAGTCGCAAAAGGTCTAGAATAGAGCAACGCAGTCACACGTAAAAGCTATAACAGGTAATGTACCTACTTGGTTCAGGGGACGTTTGTAGAGTTGAAAAGTTTGTTACGATCCAGGCCCGGCTCGATGGTCACAGAGCTTCAGAGTTCCAAGGGCCCAGGGTGAGGCAAAAAGCGCGATCAAAGCATGGTTCCAAGAGAAGTCAGAACCTGTATGGCTCCCAGAAACCTTGCGAATATTTGACGACAGTAAACGCATACTTAGGGAAAGCGAAGCGGTGGCCATCACTTTCGACCGCACAGAAGTGACAAAACCTCCATCACGCAGTCTCCAGCCACTTTCAAAGCGGCTCCATCGCTTTCTGATACTTTTCTCAAAGTCCTTTCCATGGGCCAAGCTCGGTCAGACTTTTGCTTCTCCTTCCGTCCGACTTCCAGATCTGGTACGCGAGGACCTCCGCTGAGGCCTGAGAGACTACATGCCAGGGTCCCTGGCATCCATGGCGGCGCCAGCTGGATCCCTAATCTATACTGATGGATCATGCCTCTAGCTTCACCTTGGTCTCGGGAGCATCTTTTTCTCGGGCTTCAACGTCTCTCCACTGAGATGAAGGCATTATGGTTCCTATTCGGGTTGTCTTCGACTGGTCGCATTGTTCCGGATTCTCCAAAATATCGACTGCTTGTTGGATTGACGTGTCTGCGGGAAATGTCTTTAGAACCGCGCGCGCTTCGACCAGTTGCGAAGGTGTCCGCGCAGACCTGGTCGCTGGGCGATGGCTCGTTGGACTTTTCTCCTCCGACGCCGTCGGCGACTGGAGCTGGTGAGGCGGACGCAATGCGTGGGGATCGGTGTCGTTCTTCCTCAGGTCACTGTCAACCGGATCGCGATGAAGAGGATCTTCGTCACCGATCTCGCCCAGATGGTGTGGGAGCGGCTCTGCTGCTCTTCATGACTAGCTGTTGACGGCTGTCCGCAACTAGGAGTTGGCGAGTCGGCGGGGTTGTTTCCGCTATTTGGGCCACAGTTCTGGTCATTCGCAGTCACCTTCATGTAGTCGACGACAACGTGCTCCTGCGGGACTCCAAACCCCCAAATCGATCAAGGTGCAATCATTAATGGAAGACCTCTCTGGGGGTCCAAATAGAGAACTGACCGACAGTGAAATAGAAACGCTGAGGGAATCAATAACGGCGCCGTGCGTGATTATGCTTATGATATTATTGCTGGGCGTACGCTCGCTTCCTTTGTTGCCTAGCCTCATACGTACGGTGGCCAAATCTGCAGAAGCACCGATCGAAATCGATGTTCTTGAGGTACCGTCTATCTCCTGCAATTACGCGTTGACATCGAGTGTCTATGGCAGCGCGCCCATCCTCATGAAGCGTTTCATTCTTGCGGTTCTTGAAGTCCTGGCATGAACCAGACTTTCGTCCTGTGGCAGTCTTTGGGTCGTTCACGATTCCGAACGCTCTCCCTGCAAACTAAAATTGTCGGGAACTCATTCCCATCTCCCGCAAGAACTTCCTTTAAAGGGAGCTGCCTACCACCTGGGCTTGACCCGGATGAAGGCATGCCCTTCTTCGTGTCCATGTCAACATCGGAAGTCGGTCAAAGGCCATGGTTGCCTCCTCCTCATAAAGGCGCCGAGATTGTTCACCATAGACTTTTCCTTCAGGTTCATCAGGCCGAACTCTTCTTCCTCGTCGACCTCGAATCTCATGTTCCTCCAAAGCCTCTTCTTCAGCGTCTTGATCTCCTTCTAATCCTTCTCCACCATCCCCTCCATCCAACTCCTCCACCGCGGCCTCCAGAATCTCGTTCTCATCCGTGTGTTCAAGGGTGTCCTCAACAATCATGCGGCGCACGGATGTCCAGGACGTAGTCCCTGTTTTGATCTTGCCACGCTCGATCCCGACCTCCTTGCCCATCAACTGCCTCTCGTGTTTCCTCACCCATTCCTTCACGTCCCGGCTGGCAATGAAACCCCCGAGCCCCGAGCGAAGTTCATCACATTCTTGATGTTCTGTTTGCTCACATTCAACGCGTTGATCAGGGGGACCCCTTGTAAGCATCTGGCAATTCCTGCGTCTCATGGTTTCTTCCCATCTATTGAGGAAGACCCAATGCTCCTCCTGTCGCTCGTGGCTCGTGACAGATGTGGTTGCTAAGGAGCTCAAAAGTCGTCTTCTTTGTCGTCGCCAAAATTCTCTGGCTGGCCATGGCCGTCAGCAATCAGGTTCCACCTTGCTCATCTTGAAGCCATTCAGCGTCCATCGCCCAACGCTTGAACGTGTGGAACGCCACTCCAGAAAGGCCCTGAAGAAATCACGCAACCCTGCGGAGTCTTCCGGAACTTTGTGGTGGCCAGGAAGAGTTTGGCTTCTGCCAGCCAATGGAGTCTCCATCAATCAGGCGCACATGGCTTCGAACTGGAGCCATTCCCTTTCCAATCACCATTCTATCATCGCCTCGTGCTCCTCTCGTTCAGGGGAGCGATTTCGACCATCGCGCAAAAAAACTGTACTGGTTGTGTTGAAATTATCTGGCCAGGCAAGCTCCCACCGGCAACACACCACTACCTCCCCCGAGGCTCATCCCGTCATCAGCTGCATCGCCGCCATTGCTTCGCGGCACAAGATGGACACTTCCATCCGCCATGGCTTACTGGAACCCTCTCCTTGACCTTGATGCTCCGCTACCACTGTAGCCGCTTCGCACTTTCAACCGCACAGACACCGGGTCCCTTGCCCAGCTTGAACAATGACCGAATCCAAATGGGTTTCGACCCGTGGGGCCCGATTCACAATACTGTAAGTACATATCGCATATATGTTTGTACAAACAAACTCGCAAAAACAACACAAAGATTCCATCAAGCGAAGGCCAAAGACTAATAACTCAGAGAAGAAGTACGCGATGCCACCCAACGAGACAATCAAATCAGAAGAGTACATTCACACCGGCCCCGCCCCACCTTCTTAACTCCCTGCGTGACTTCTGCACTTCCAATGAAAGCGCTGTAGTTCTGAATTGCCAACTGTTCCATTTCTCGCTCACAACGGTCCTGCGGTAGATTTTCACTGCCATTTTCCATTCAGGGTGCCAGCAACGGGAAGTCGTTGCATGGCGGTGTTCTTTCTTTATGCGGAACTGTCTGCAATTGGTATTTGGCACTCCTGCACCTCATGCCTCAAGCCACGCCATGACAAGGTCTACTCATTTGTTGAAGCTCAAAACAGTCTAGCGACGAACTGGAGCATGTTGCGCTGGAAATGCGCTGCAACCTACCGACTCAAATTCCACCCTTCGAAAGTCGCTCCTTCTCCACCTTTAAGTTCTCAGGTTCTCGGGCCAAAGCCTCATACCTCGTCATGCTACATACACATGCCTTCTGTCTGTACACGATCATCGCTCTGACTTGCCTTTCTACCAGCTCCTTACAACGAGCCCTTGAAGTATCTTGTCGATGGAACTTTCATCTAGGTATGAAGACAGCAAAAAACTCAACGCTTGGGCATCTACTTTCATTTTGTCTCTCTGCCTAGGCGCGTGGAGGACGTCAAGTGCGGAAAATATGATCTGGCGACATCCAGCAGCCCAGGATTTGCCCTGCAAGCATGCATTGTTTTGGAGAGAACAAGAAAAAATGACATCAACAAGCCACAAGTTTCAAAAATTCATCTGGCCATAAGCAAAACAAGAATGTACGTGTGTGTATGTATGAGTGTATATGTATGCGTGCAAATATGTGTATATATATATATGTATGTATGTATGCTTTAATTTATCTGTTTTTGCTACCCCCCCCACCAATACCACACCTTTTGCGTTGGGAATGACAAGCAGCTCCCTTCGGCAATAGGTTGACATAGGATTACGTAACCTCCCCCAATTAATCAAGCCATATCAAGCCCATCTTGACCCCAACACTTTATAGACAAAGTCCACATGGTCCTCCCTCTAAAACTGCGTTCTTGGCAGAAAGCTTTCCCTATACATCAAGCCCACTTGCCACCAGAAAAATACACTATATGTTGTTATTGAACTGCTTGCTTTTCAGTTGCAGTAGTACCCTAGACTATTATATTGAAGCTGATCCATGGTCAAGCTGATCTTCTGCCCCACCCTTGTTACATGCCATCTGCGTGAAATCATTCCAGCTGGCGCCGGTGCGGAAGCTGGTGTCTTCATGATCCCATCTTGATCATTCTCACCGCCACCCTTCAGCTGCCTCAATCTGCTCACCCAACCTTCTGAGTGCTTCTCCTGAAGGCTCATGCAACCAACCATACTGATGACCCATGTTGTCCCAAGCAACATTTTTCCGCAACCAAATACCACATATCTGCCCTTTATTGGGGAATTCTATCAAAATCTTAAGGTTTTCAAGTTCACAAAGGGCGCCCCTTACACAGGCCCTACCCACTCTGACAGTGGGAGCACCTCCCCTATTTATCAAGCCCGCCCTTTGGCCTCCATCTTCCCGTCCGTCTCTTTAATCCTCGCCCGTTTCCAAACCATCAACCCAATTAGACCATCCACTATTGGCATCCACCCTCACCACATTTCCCATTCCTCCTCCATGCTCAAACGCAAACTCCCAATTGGCATGGCTCTGATCTCTCATCAAACTTGGGCCAAAATGCTGAGCTCTCTTTGTGCTCTTGGTTCAAACTCTCATGGTGCACACAGAATCCCGTCAACCATCATCCACAATCAGGTCAGCACCTCTATTAGGGAGATGTGGTCTTGAATACCTGAAATCTCAATTTGACCTTGTTGACCTTGAAGGGGTAAACAAACATGTAATAGGATCTCTGGTATGTTTCTTCATATCACTGTATCGCAGTCAAGCATGTCAAAAGTGTTCACCAAATAAAGTATGGCAGCCCCGCAACCTAGCACAAAAAGAAGTCATATTGAAACATTACTGCACACGGGCCTATCCTCAAGGCCTACCGAGGTTCACCTAGAACCAAAAGCGCATGGTTTCCTCAAGCGCTCAAATGCTCGAGCCCCGCCCTGCGGGACATGGAACAAACATGTCAAAAAGGTCATGATGCATCCCTGTACTTGCATCCATGACGATCCTCCTGGCCTTTTTGGCCTTCAGAGGTAAGGTGGATAGCTCGGAGGGGTTTCTCCGGCGTCCCAAGGCCAATTGAAGCGCTCAGCCATCTGCTGAAGGTTCATCACGTAGGTCTGCTGCATGTCACGCAGCTTCTGCTCCATTGCCTTCTTGTGGACTTTGCGCCCTGCCTCGAACTTCTCATCGTGGATGAGTCGCCAGAATTGCCTCTGGCTGAAGAATTGGAGCAGCATCTTCTTCGCTCCATTCTTCGTGAGCGAGTCGCCCAGCTGGGCGAGCCCATTCACCCAGCGCAGCTGTGTCTGCGCTTTCAGCGCCTGGTTGACCGCCAAGGTCAACTCATAGCCAGCCCGGCTGTCCCTCAAGCCGTGCAGCGACGAGAGGTTTCTCGTCATCGCATCGTAGATGCCCTTGGAGTCCATGACCAGTGCACCAGGGATCTGCCGCACCGTCTCGTGGAGCTTCTCGCGGCAAAACTTCAGGCCGCCAAATTCAGCCAGTATTCACCAATGGTGATGCTCTGGACTTCAGCGCCATTTGACCCCAGGCATTGGCGTGGAGTCTTTCCACTCTTCCACTGCACCACAGAGAGCTGACATTCAGCCCCGTTCAAGGCCTCCTTGACGGCGATGCCCGTGATGATGCCCACCGTGCTGCTTTTGTCTGGTCTGTTGTGTCGGCTCGCGTCTGCCCATGTGATCACACATAGGTCCCTCACATCTTCAAACTTCCAGGATGAAGGGAAAAGAAGTCCTTGTCCAGCTTCTCGCCTCATCTCGCGGACCAACTTATTCACCTTGTGCAGAGATTCAATCGTGCCTCTGCTGATCTCACTGAGCAACAGGGAGGTCTCGGCCAAAAACTGAGGCGCCGACTGCGTCGCTCGCCAGGAAATTGTTCCCAGCGCTGCCCTCATCTGAGAGATCTCTGATGGATTCAAAGGTGTCTTGCGCGCTTTGGTCTTGTCGCCCGGGATCTCTTCAATCCATCGCAGTGTGTATGTCTCCTGGTTCAGGATGACGGACTTGTCATCATTCTGCTTTATGGTGGAACCTGCAAACTCGAAGCTGTCAGTGCTCCAGCGGCCCCATCGAAATGCCTCATTGAGCAGCTTCTCTCTGGAGAGGAAGTGTTCTGAAGTCTCATCGCCAGCTAGCAACAAGTCATCTACATGCAAGCCAGCCAACCCAATGAGCTTAGGAGGAATGCCGTCGCCGCCAGTGTCCGGTTCAAAAAGAGCAAAACAGCATTTGTCGCACAGCAGTTGTTGCCACTGCCCGTCAACCATAGTTTGAACGCAACGTTCCCACCATTTGCGGGGAGCATGGGCCAACCCATAGAATGCTTCTCGCACTCTGAGGACTCGAAGATCGCCAGGATCAGCACCAAACATCGCAGTAAGCTCCGGTGGAGCTAAGACGTTCAGCTCCTCATCTTCCAGACTCGTGCCAGTCTGCAGAAAAGCACTCGTTACATCACCTGCTTTGATCTTGAAGCCATAGGCGGACGAGAGGGTCAAGATCATGTTGCGTCCAACCTTGGACATAGTTGGTGATGTGGTGGCTACTTCTGTCAGGTTCGGTGCCATGAAACCCAACGCCACAAGTCGCGCTTTTGCGCTGCCATGCACCCATCGCACGCGCATCAGCTGGTCGGCATTGACCTTCAGGGACTCTTGCTGAGTGAGGCTCCTCAAAGCTCTGCTGATGGCAACTTGGGATAGCTCTTTTGCCATGGCCAGGTCGAACTCTTTCTTTTCACTGAGTGGCAGTTTCTGCCATTCAACTTCCTTGCCCTTCTCAGACATTTTCTTGGAAAGCCACACTGCACCACGCTTGCGGTTGCTGTTCTTGGCCAACCAGTTGAAGTCCTTCTCATCAAGCTCTAGAGACAAGGCCAGGAAGGTCTCTTCGGGCTCCTTGGGCTTGATCTTCTTCCGCTTGCCTGGAGGTTTCTGAGTCTCTTCAACCACCATCAACTCTTCAGAGCCAGATCCCAGATCTTCAGGTTCTGAAATTGAGGATGTAGAAGAAGAAGAAGAAGAAGATGAGCTGCCAGGCACGGGTACATCAGCGCCCGTAGGTGCTCTTCGCCCTTCGTACAAGTCGAAGGTTCGGCCTTCTCGGTCTTGGTGACAGGTAGGTCACACTCTGGTACTGGACATCGGTTTGCACCTGATTCTCCTCGAAGAGGTAGGTTGTCCAGCACATCAGGTCCACGTTGTTGTAGAGCAGCTTGCAGTCCAGTCAATGGTGTTGCGCCCTCAATCACCTGCTCATCCTCCATCTTGGAGTCTTTGGCGGATGGCTCTTCTGTCTTCTCCTCAGCCTTCCGCTTCTCACCTTTCTCTCTGCGAAGTCGAGAACATCCTCGACACGGCACTGCCCCAGGGAGCGATCCATCCCCAGAAAGGTCTCAACCCGTTGGGCGCACTCAGTGCCCGATATGCTTGGGCTTGGGCTTCATTGGGGGAGCGATCACAACCAGTAGACAAAAATGAAGGGTATGAGACCATGGACCCAACTGGCCACGTCCCTGATCATGCAGAGATCGTCCGATGCCTTCTGCAATACCAGGATATCATTGACCAGAGTGATATGATTTACCTGATTGTGTACAATAGGGACCCTGCAGACGTCCCTCACTGGGCGGCTTTTGCCAGATGGTGGGCATCGCGGCGTAGACTTGTTGGACCGCGCGAGGAAAAAACTGACATTCTTTGGGTCACAGCTAACCACCAGAACGGGTTGCGAGATGTTCCGTACTATTGGGCGGGAGTGTTTGTGTTAGAAGCTGCCAGGTTCCTCTACCCCCGACAATTGCAAAGGTCTGGTCTCCTCAACGGTGTCGTTGATCGTCACCTCATCGCCTCCATGGACAGGTCGAATGACCGTACGTCGAGTGCCAATGAGCTCTTCCAGGGCCACAGGACAGTTCGTCGCCCGAGTAGGGTTGAACAAAGCCAGACGTGGAAGCTCATGTAGTCGCACTAGGAAGCGCTTGTCGCCTTCTCTTCTCGTTGTCCATGTGTCATTGCCTTGAGGTCTTGAGGGCTCGACCAATGGAGTAGAAGCTGTAAGGTCGCCCATCTGCAAGGTCTCGCTTGGAACATCGGCGGTGACATCCATGAAGTACCGTCCTTGGAAGGAGTTCATGAGAGCTTCAAGTGACACCGGGGTCTTGTGGATTGCAGTGCCTTCTAGGGCTGCATTGGGGTCTTCCCGCTGTGAAGTTGGCCGGATCTGATTCACCTTGGCTCTGATCAAGGTTGCTCCTGAGACAAGCCATGCAGTTGAGCCTTCCACGTCGAACAGGACCAGTCCAACTGCCCTTGATCTTCCCTGGACGAACTCTCTGCCTCCAAACCATCACGAGCTGTCCAGGTCGGTATTGGCTCACCTCTTGCTAAAGCGTTCTTGCGCTCGTTCTCGTTCATAGGCAATGCGTCCTTCACGAGCTTGTCGAAGGCATGCTGAGGACTGATGCCTTTGAGTAGCTGCTGATCATCCAAAACTCCTCC